GACTACAACAAGGAAGAAAGAAACTTAGTAAGAAACGTAACGGTACGGATAGTAGGTACGGATACACAAGGAAGAAAGTAACGTAAGAGAAACGTAACAGTACGTACTCTCTCTCTCTCTCTCTCTCTCTCTCTCTCTCATACCAACTAAAGGAAGAAGAGAACTTGGAAGAAAAACTTGGGGTACCTAGTTTATAGTTTTTTGTGCATTGAATTGACCTTTTCCCTTTACTTTGTGATCGAGGGCTCTAATGCCATTTTTTAACAGGAATCCTTAGATTGCAGCAGGACTAAGAACAGCAGTACTGCTACTCGAGTGGCAGGCTTCGAATCTAGCCTTGCAAGTAGTTATCTTTGCATTCTAGAGGTGACCTCTACTCTCTAAAATATAGAACCTATGTTCCCAAATTGAATACTATAGCAAAATATCATGTGCATCAGAGTGAACAATTTATATGTTAAAGTGTGTGCGTGCCTGTGTGTGATGAGTAGAGTAGCAATTGTGCAAGCATAGAGTAGACTAGTATGAAGAGTAGTTAAATCTATCCAGACAATATGCTGTTCCATTACCTTGGTGGCATTAGAATGGACATGCAACAGAAACAATGAAAATTTAGATGACTTAGAATTTAGAAGCAATCTATCATGCCACTCCTGTGTTCAAACTGAATGTCTAGCATCAGACACATTTGAGGAGCTGATGAATTCGAGTGATAAACAGATCAGATCCAGATCCAGAAAAAATTGAGGGTTATCTTTATGCTGCACTTTGATTTTTAGCTCAATGAGTTTGATTACCAATAAAAAAAAAAAAATTGAACCAATACAACCATTTAGTTGAAATATATATGCACAAACAAATGTAGACAAGGTATGAAAGATTAAATTCTATGACATCATGAACCATATAGTGTGTGCATGCAAGAAAGGCAGAGGGTTTGCCTGGATTATAATGTGTCACATATTTTATTATTCATCTCATCTCTAACAACCGTCATTGTTCCTGTAAAATTCCAGGTCGTCCATTGTCATGGTCCCAAAAGAAACCCCACAAGCTGCTTTGAGAGAAGGCTAATCAAGTAAAACCATTCTGGTAATCTGAGGAATCATTCAACACATTATTTTAACCTTCCTCTCTCTTTGCCACAGTAGTGTCTGTGAATTGTCTCGAGAAAAGCATCTGTATTTATGTCTCTGCTCATGGAGCTTCAGAAGAGAACCCATTGGAAGATGTGGGGTTCCATGGATCCCACTAATTAAAAGGGAAGTCGGTAGATACGAACACCAAACGATTCTTTTAATCTTTAGAACTTGGATTGATTGTATAGAGTCTTCATGTTATGTCTCAGCATTGAGTCCTTCTTAATCTTTAGAACTTGGATTGATTGTATAGAGTCCTTGCGATATGTCTCAGCAGTGGGTATTTTGTCTGTGTTTATGTCAGCACCGAGTCTTTATGCAATGGAAACTTGCATTATGTGTTGTATACTTCATGGAAACAGTTATTTTTTGTGATGTGTTTCAGCTTGACACTAGAACTGGTTCTCAGGATGAAACTGATTACAAGTGGATGAGTTTGTGGTGAATTTCTTTTTTTCCCTTCTGAATTCGAATTGTCTTTTTGTTGGGAAAATTCCATTAAAACAGTTGAAACCACCTCAACAATCAATGGGATGGTTAAATCAACAATTTTACCACAAGAGTGGTTACTCTATGGAAACACGTTCAGTAAGCTCCCTCAAAAAATTTATAAGGAGAAAATAAAATGGTATTTAGGGGTTGTAGCCCAAACAAGTGATGGTATTTTGGTTAATTTGACTTGTTTAAGGCATTTGACTCAAATGACTTTTAAATCTTTGTTTATTTTAAGTTTCAAACCTTTGTGTTATTTCATGAGAAAATCTTATTTCTGTATTTGAAGCTACAATAGGCAGCGGCATTTCAGCGATTTAGCCCCACTTTAAGTCACCAGAGATGAAAGGAGCTTATTTTAGGTTTTAAATCCATAGCTAGTTTTCTTTAATAAAAGAACATGTTCCGGAATAGGGTTGAGAACTTACCTGGTTTGGATCCGAAACTTGAAATTCTGATTTTTTCTGGATCTGGATATAGATCTAAGATTTTGATTTAAAATTTGGTTTCGGATCATAAATTTGGATAGGATCAGTGTACATGTGGATCTGAACCAGATCTAACCCGGTTTTTATCTCAAGTAATTCTCTCTTAAGAAGAGACGCCCCATTCCCTCTCTCTTGTGTGAAGAAAACTCAATTCCCATATTTGTCAATATCTCTCTTTCTCTTTCTCTTTCTCTCTCACTCCAACCCAGTTCCTTTTTGCCCGCATAGGGAAATTTTCCAAAGATTCACAAATCTTTCTCTATCTTATGGAAAGAAACCTAGTTTCCCTTTTGAAAACCCACAGAGGGAGTCAGGATGGAGGGATCTGCTTCCTCCCCTCTCTGTCTCTCTTGTGGTATTTGGTAAAGAAAATTAATCCCCACTTGAACACGATCAAAGCTTTTTCTTTTCCTCTCTGGTTGGAAAGAAACCCCCGACCAATTTGAAGTCAAGAGACAAAGATCCTCTCTCTCTCTCTCTCTCTCTCTACTAAC